GCTGAGAGAGTTGGGCTTGTTCAGCCTGGAGAAGAGAAGGCTCCAGGGAGACCTTATAGCACCTTCCAGTACCTGAAGGGGCTACAAGGAAGCTGGGGGGGACTTTTTACAAGGGCCTGTAGTGACAGGACAAGGAGTAATGGGTTTAAATTGAAAGTGGGGAGGTTTAGATTGGGTATCAGGAAGAAGTTCTTCCTGGACGGGGAGGAGGCACTGGGACAGGTTGTCCAGAGATGTTGTGGATGCTCCTTCACTGGATGTCTTCAAGGCCAGGCTGGATGTGGCTTTGAGCAACCTGGTCTAGTGCAAGGTGTCCCTGCCCATGGCAGGGGGGTTGGAACTAGATGGTCTTTAAGGTCCCTTCCGACCCAAATCATTCTATGATTCTATGGTTTATGATATTTCTATTTTTCAATTATAACAGGACCATTCTGTTTACCCCTGTTTAACCCTATTGATATCAGTAGAACTTTTTCTCATTTATTAAAGTAAAAATTCAAGAATATCCTGCCTTGCTGCACCAAAAATACAGCAACTATTAACCTAAAATGAAAATAATCTTTTAAAGACTGTATACAACCACAGCTCTCATTTCAAGAATTATACAGAACTTCATCTTTATTGAAACCTTGTGCTTTTTACATCCTCCACAGCTGATAGTTTTTATTCAACAGACACTGAGCAGTAATGAATTTGATATGTCGTGTCACAATGTATTCTGCTTCTTTTGTAGAAACCTGGGAATTTTTAATACTGAGTTTGCTGAAGACTTCCCCCTCTGCAAGTTCACACAAATAGTTTTATTAACTTTTAAAAAGTGAGTGCATAGCCTTCAGTAAATGAATTTACAAGAGCGTTTTACAAAGCTTGAGCAAAAAATAATTGGGGATTACAGATTGAAAGTTTAAATACAGAACTCAGGAGAGGGTTTTTTAATGGGTTTTTAAAAAATATTATTATCCATGAGGATCCTTTTTGTGTCCAGAGGAGAGACTAGAGAGCAGGAGAAGAGGCATGCATGCTGCCTTGTTTGCAGGGACCATAGGGGAGAGCCATATCCCAGCGTGACTCCAGACCAAGTGAGCTGCAGGTCCCCTATAAGCAAAACAAAATGTCAGAAGATGCATCAGGATTTGAGCCCACGTTACAAAGGTCAACAAGGCAATTATTAACAAGCCATGGTCTTATAACCTTCCAGCCTCTAAAAGTCAATGCTGTTGCAGGAGGTAAGCATTTTGAGCCTTCCTGCGGAGAAGATGTGTTCCTTGCTTGCAGAGGTTTTTTGTTTGTTTGGTTTGGTTTTTTAATTATTATTTTAGTTTCAATAATGAATGATCTGTTGATTCCTTTGGTCTCAGGCTCTGTTGATTTCATCCCTTTAAGCTGCTGTAGATATATAGATAGGCAGTGAATTTTGATGAAACATAGCTATTGGCAATTTTGAAAATTTGAAAGGTACTTTAATGTGCAGTACCAGAACATGAGGTACTATTTCACATTTGAATGGTTACAGGAAAATATCCATTTTGCATTAATTGTATGAAAACATCTTGCCTACAAAACCAAAAATATTTCTACACCGTGATGCCTTCTGTGCTGTAAATATATTGAAGATATGCATGGGAAGCTTGGAGCCATTCAATCAGTGCATCTTCTGCCAACAACATTCAGTAGGTATCACGTTATGTAGGAGCTTGCATCTTGTTAACAAGAATTTGAACGCAAAAAAGTAAATGAAAATGTTTGCCAAGATATTTTCCCTTGCTATTTTCATGCTTTTCTCTAGAAACCTGGAACTAAGGGATTCACAGTTTTCTATTTCTTCATAGTATGAAAATTTACTGAAATCAGTTTTAATTGACTTATATCAATAGATTGAACAGGTATATTTCCAAAAGACATTTTTCTACCACAAGCGTAGAGGTCAATATACACGGTGCTCCCAAATGTGTCATGTTGCGGTTGGTTTTCTTCCTTTGCCTGTTTAATTGTCAAACTGCTGGATCTGGAAATCAATGTGTGAATCTCCTCAAAGCAAAGCTGTTCCTTTGCCTCCCTTTTCGCTGTGAGTTACATGAGATCATGCCCTGCACTCCCGTCATGCTCCCTGCTCGTCCCAGCCCTTCTCATTTTTGGCACTTGACATAGCTTTTTTCTGGTTGACTTGCCATGACAACTTTGTTCATGAGAAGCTGCCTCCGACAGCTTCAGTTGACTGTGTGGAACTGATACCCATGAAAAAAATCAGCATTTATGGGGCTTTTTGACTCAAATCCACCCCTCGTTTAGCTTCATTGGTTTCACTGGAAATTATGGTATAGAGACACAATCTTTACCACCATCATTTTGAACCTGAACAAGCTGCTTGCTCATCCTGAGCCATCACCATGGAGACCTGCCACTGGAGAACCCCAATTTCCTGAGCCAGCCTCACAATCCCAGATTGCTCACATGCCAGCTTGTCCCTTGGTCCGTGCATTTTTTCCCCCAGAATAATGAACCCAAATGCACGCTCTCACCTCATTCCCCAGCCTTAACACACTCCAGCAGTCTCGCATCACTGACACCCAAACTGGAACCAGATGAGATGTTTACAAAGCGTAACATATAAGTTTTGTCAGTGCTTTATTTTCAGATTTTCAGTAAAAGACCTCTCTCCATTTATTCTCTCAAAACTGCTTTAAACAACCTGGGCGAACCTGCCTGCATGTCTTGCGAAAAACTCTTTTTGTTCCCACTGAAATCTGAGAATTGAGCATTAGCCCTAAAGAAGGGCTCAGAGCACAGGAAGCCAGCACAATGTTTTGATTAATTTGCTTCTCTGTTTGTGTGGCAAGAGAATAGTGTCAGTATTAATGAAAACAATTGCAACTAATGTAGCCGACAAGACTATCAGAGAATCATCTGCCACATTAGAATAGGAACCCATCATGAGAAACACCTCAATTACAGCTATTATCTCTTAAAATGGCTGGGTAACTCTTACATTAATCTGATTTGAAATAGAAAGTTGCCGTTATGTAGTGAGATGTTAAATGGGGCTTTGCTGTGTAATTACATGGGGTAAAGTAACTATGAAAGTAATTTTTGTATGAGGGCTATGCTGACTGCTAATGAAAAGCTCTCATTTTCTGGCACCTGTATTTTCAGTAATTCCATGGAGAATTGCATCTTATTTTACATCTGCACAGGGGATAAGGGGGAGAAAAGAGTGTCAGTTATAACCATTATGAAAGAAAATAAGGGAACTATTTGCCTAATGCCAAGAGACCATCTGCAGGGAGCTCCCACTGGGTCCCAGAGGTAAAACCATTTCCCTGCCCTCTCTCGTGTTGCCCTTCCTCTTGGACTTGTTCCTTCACAATTGCTGTTCTCCATAAAAAAAACCCTACTGCTGTGCTGGAAACTTTGTATGGGCA